TTTAAATAAATCTCAATACTTAATAACTTAATTAAATAAGATAGAATTAAAATTTTATTTTGAAAAAATAATTTATTAATATTTATTTAAGATATAAATCTTTTTGTATCAACTTATAATAATAATAGAATTATAAGAGTTAAGATTAATAGTAAAATAAAGATTTTTATAACAAAAAACTTAAAAAAACTTAAATAAATAATAGATAATAAAAAATAAATAGCAAGAAGTAGAATAATAAAGAACAGATAATAAAAGATAAATAATAAAAGATAAATAATAAGAACAGATAATAAAAGATAAATAATAAAAGATAAATAATAAGAACAGATAAATTTTTTATTAATCAATAATATATTATAAAGAGATAAAGATAAATAAAAATTTTACAAAAATAAAAATAATTTTATTAAGTTTCTTTTTGAGCAGATAATAAAAACTTTAAAATATAATATATTATTATTTTGATAATATATTATTATTTTAATAATACATCATTATTTTAATAATATATCATTATTTTTATAATATATTATTATAATACAGTATAGAATATTAATTATATAATTTATTTTATTTTTAGTTTTAAAAATCAAATCAAATTTAAATAAGCTAAAAAATTAATTTTTACATACTTATTAAAAAAAATTATAGATTTAAAAAGTTATATATTATATAGTAATAATATTATATTCATAAAAAAATTAAATATTTTTTAAAATATAATAAATTTTAAAAATATAATCAATAAAATATAATTAATACTAAAGATATTATTTTAATTGTGACTTGTGATAATTAATCAGAGAATTGTGATTAATTATAATAATCAATCAGAAAATTGTGACTAAGTTATAATACTATCTTTAATTAATATAATAATTAATAAAAAAAAATAAAAATATGATTCAGAATTGATCAATCAAAATTAAAATTCAATTTTATTAGATTATTACTAATCATATTATTACTTTGAATATGTTTTACTAATCATTAGTTATATAAAACTTGAATATTTTTAAATAAATACTATTTAAAAATAGATAATTATTTTTTAAAAAAACTATTATTTTATAACTAAATTAATTTACTACAAAATAATAATCTTTTTTTATATTATCTTTATATGATTATTTAAAGATAACTAGTTTTATTAATATACGTTATTATTAATAGCATGTGATTTGCACATAATCACGCGGTCACGTGTATAAATCACGCGATACTTAATCACGTGCACAAATCACGTGCTATACGCAACAGAATTCATTCGTTTTAATCTGTCACAATAATTCTAAATTTACAAATCCTGCATTATTTATGTAATTGGTTTCGATTAGTATATATTAATTAAACTAAAATTAGCATGTTCTGTCAATCCATCAAGAGAAAAAGTTTTTCGACATTGGATAAATCTCAAACTTTGATATTGAAAAAAAAACGAGAAAAAAAATCCAAAATTACATTACATTACACAAAAACTATAGAAAATATAACGTATATTTAATGCAGGCTGAAACTTGCATAAATCTACACACGAATAAATACTACGATGATTTTCGTGAATTGTCATCTTTCGATCCATTTGAATCCCCTGTGTTGTTGCCACCTGGCATATTACCGAATTGACGAGCTCTATTGCAGACGAAATTTTTTAGAAAATTAATTAAAGACAAAAGTTAAAAATTAAATTGACGTACAGATTTGCTATCTCAGGATTATTCATCATTTCATCCATATTTGGAGGAGCGCCTCCACGCATCATATTGTTTGCCCTTTAACATGTAAAAATAACGATTAATTTAATATGATTATCGATAGCTAATAATATTAAAAATTCCTTACATTTCAGCAATATTTGGATTATTCAGCAAATCATTGAAAGCACCAGATTGCATCATCTGACTTGCCATATTCATTAATTGAGGATTATTCATTAATGTAGAAAAATCGAGGCCTCCACTACCACGACCTAATCCGGGTAATCCGCCTGGTAGACCGCCAGGAAAACCACCACCCCCACCACCAGCAGGAGCTGCACGTGTACCATCTGTAGATGACCTTGGACCAGATTTTATCTCATTAACTTTCTGTTCAGCAGTTCCAAGCGCTGATTTTAGAATACTATTATTTGGATCAAGTGAAAGTCCTTTTTCATATGCATCTACAGCCTCTTGATATTTTCCTATAGAATAATAGGCGTGTCTTTTTATTGTTTTAAATTTTATGAGATGTAGGCAAATTCACAATTGACTAGGAATAAATATCGGCACATCAAGACTTACCCAAGTCTGCTGTAAGCTTTACTGTAGGAAGGATCAACTTGTGTAGATTTTGTGGCGTCTTCGATCGCTTTATCGTGTTGACCCATTTGACTGTATGCGGCAGCTCTGGATTTAATATTAATGTTTAAGAGGTATTCATTCATATTCATTCATATACAGAATCTTAAAATAATAAGAAAAAGATACCTGTTGGCATAGAAAACTGCATTATTACAATCTATCGATATTGCTTCACTATAAAATTTCACTGCTTCATCATAGTTTTTTTCGGATACTTTTTTATTTCCTATTTAATTTTGTTGAATAAGTATTTTGATGTATTTAATAATAAACAAAACAAGTCTTATCACAAAAAACTAACCGGCTGATTTTAATTCCTCGGCTTTTTGTTTTTGCTCTTGAGTTAATTCTACAGGCTATATAAATTAAAAAAAAATGAAAATACTGAATCACAAAAATTAAATCATAAAGATTTAGATTATTTAATTAATAAATTACCTTTTTCTCTAACAACAAAATCCCACACGTCATCATGTCAAATATTAAAGTATGCAGATTGTTGAGCGATGTAAAAAAAAAATCACGAATATTTCTTACCAGGTACTTTTGGAAGTGTTGTCGTTTTTGAGGAAGATGTGTTTGCCTAATAGAGAAAAACGTGAAAACTTCAATTTCCTCGGTAATTCCGGAATTAATAAAAAATCCGAATGTTAAATACTAGCCTTTGCTGAAAGCTTTTCTTCAGCCTGTATAGCCATGTTAAAAATAAGTGGCAAGTTGTGTTTGGTTGAATATAAAGCTATTTGTTCTGGATCCTGTGGGTTAACTCCAAATGCTTCTCCAATGCATTGCACTATTTTTTCATTTTAAAAGTGAATCTCGAACATGATAATATTTCTTTATAAAACCTCAGGCAACACTCACCAGCCACTTCAATTCCTTCAGCATCGTCTGGCTTTATCGTGCCGTCTTTAATTGAGGATTCCAGAAACTGTATTATAGAGAAAACGAGACGTTTCTTTTTGTCTGCCATGGTGAAAGAAGCAGAATAGAAGCCAAGCCCGAAATAGAGTGTCTTTTATTCAGATCATGTCACGTTATGCATGCTTGTTTTTTTCGAGTTGTGTATAATGGAAACCGCTGAAGAAATTCCTACTTTGGTCGACATTGAACCTTTTGGTAGTGCACTAACTAGCAATCAACAAGAATTGTATGTCTGTTCTTCTTTAAAGTCTGACAGCTGTCTATTGCTACTTTACCTTGTCTAAATCTCGTCGCATTCTATGTTTCAACAAGAAAACAAACGTTAACAACTGTAAAAGATAATATTTCTTCTGTTCACGACGGCAAAGTTCCTGTTACCATAATAACTGGTACGAGTGTTTTTTTTATCTTCAATTCCTTACTTGATGGAATATTTCATGAGTAATAGCAGCTATACTGTAGGTTTTTTGGGGTCTGGCAAGACAACCTTACTCAATTACATTCTTGCAGAACAACATGGCAAGCGAATTGCTGTGATTTTAAATGAATTTGGAGAAAGCAAGTATTTAATTCATATCTTTTATGTTGATTTATTCATTGCAATCTCTTCTAATATAACTATAAAACAGGTAGTGGAATTGATAAAGCTCTATCAGTTGGAATGGATGGGGATTTGTTTGAAGAGTGGTTGGAGCTGCGTAATGGGTGTCTATGTTGCTCAATCAAGTAATTAGCCGCTAATAAATGTTGTTCGATCTCTGCTGTTTGTCATTTATCAACGAAGTTTTTTTTAGGGATGTTGGAGTAAAAGCGATTGAGAGTTTAATGGAGAAAAAAGGAAAGTTCGATTATATATTGTTGGAGACTACTGGACTTGCCGATCCAGGTATAATGAGAACATAGTTACAGGATGAGCTAAGTAGACCTATATAAATTAAATATGCAAAAATTGGTCAATTCTTTTTTATATGAATGCAGGCCCTATCGCATCAATGTTTTGGCTTGACGATGAAATAGACAGTGATATTTATCTCGACGGAATCGTTACAATCGTAGATGCAAAGTATATTGAAAAGTATATTCTCGAAAAAAAAGCCAAAGGATCTATAAATGAAGCTGTAAGGTTAGTTGTTAAAATCCTGTAGAAAGATTAGTTACACTGGTCACTTCATTGACTTTTTAATTTAAAATATTAGACAACTCGCTATGGCTGATAGGATAATCCTTAATAAGATTGATTTGGTTTCCAATGATGAGCTTAAAGCCATCGAGAAGAGGATAAAGTAAGAACTCTCATCATTTCTATTGTTATTTTAAATTTTATTGATACATAAAGTTGTTTGTCCGCTTAATATTATTTGTCATTAGCTAATTGTTTAATTTAGATCGATAAATGCGGCTGCAGAACTTTTGCGAACAGAGCGATCAAGGTACAGTAGAGCAAACAAAGGTATCAGCTGCAAGAACTTTAACGAGAGATATTCTTTAATTGCAGAGTTCCAATAGATTTTATATTGGATATACACGCTTTCGATGATAAAGTTAATCCACTTACAGAGATTACGTCTCATTTTACTGAGAAAGACATTCCAGATGTAGAACGACATCTTGATGAGGTAATCTTAAATTTTTCAATTGAAATACATTATTTTCTATCATCCACAGCCTGATACATAATTTCATTCATTAAATAAGGACGTGCAAACGATATGCATAGAATTTCCCGTAAAAGCTCTCAATATTTCAAAATTTGAACGATGGATACAGAATTTATTATGGGAAAAAACCATTCCATTGTTGGTTTCTCAGAATCCCGCGTCGTTAGATCCTGCTACTACTTTTAACACTATCAATACAAATTCTACTTCAGAATCAGAAATAGCAATTTTACGACTTAAGGGTATTCTAACACCTGATGATAAAGAGCTACCTCGTGTTATTATACAAGGGGTTCAAGAACTGTATGATTTGCACTACACGAGTAAAAAGGGTAGGACTGATGAGGTTAAAGAGGATAATGTTAGAATACAGGATAAGTTAATTATTATCGGCAGAAATCTTGACTTTAAAAGAATAAAGGAATCATTGTGGAATTGGATGGGTTGGTAAAAAAAAACCATTGGTTTTTTTGTCACATAAATAATTTATCATCTTATAATTTTTTTGACTCATTTCTAAAAAAATTTAATTTTCCAAAATCTTTCGGTTCCTATAAAAAAACTCGTCGAATTTATACGAACTTTTTGTGTTTTAAATGAAGATTTATAAATCATCATTTTTTTTGATTTACATCATTTATTTTAGATCGAATGAGTACATATTACACACATTTTATAAGAGGTTATAAAATCGAGATTAGGATTAAAAACAAGTAAAATTCAAGAATCATAAAACAAAATTTTTAAATAACTTGACATACTACTAAAATAGAGATGCTAGATATATAAAGTGGGCGCGCAATGTGAAGCGAGCCGACACATTGTTAATTAAATGAAAAAATGTATATAATAAATTTGCGTAAGCGGACTACAATAATAAAAACGACGTAATAATAACAAACTATTAATGACAATAAACTAATGTAACAATAGTAAGATGCAATGGTAATGATGATCATCTAATAAAAATATATATGAGAGGACCAGGAAAAGAGTGTCTTATAAAATAAAATAAAAATTAATCGACATTCTATCTATTTCAATGTATGTTTTTATATTTTGTTGATCAGCCGTTGATGAGCTTCACTCAATTGCTGTTCTAGTTGACGCACCCTTGCATCTTTCTCGGCATTTTTTTCTTCCAATCCCTTCTTTTCACTCTCTAGTACCGCGACACGTGTTTGTAATTCGGAATTTTCATGCTTTAACTCCGCAACGTCTCTCTCGAGTCCCTCCATCTTCTCAACTTTACGTTGTCGACTTCTACGTGCAGCGTCAGTATTCTTTGCACGTTTTAATGCCAATTCATCGGCAATGACATTTGGATCTTTTGCAACATCGTTGTGTGCTCTCTTTCGACTATTACGAGAGATACTGTGATTAGATATAACAGCATTGTTATTGATTTTGTTATTAAACGTTGGACTGGTGACCATATGAAGATCCATGTCTTCAGCAGATTGATCTTGTGTTATCACGTGCGATGTAGGTGGAATGATTACAGGTTCAGAATTTGTTGTCGTGACAGGTATTTGAGCAGATGCATTATGAGTATGATGATCGTTTGAGGAACCACGACGAGTTGAATGAAGGGATCGGACCATTGGACGAGTTCGAGCAGCAGCAGAAGTTTTAACGTTCAAGATCGCAGATACAAGAGCTGAGGCAGTTTCATCGAGAGCAGGATTAATGGCATTGAGACCATCCCATGGTATATTAAGAGCAGAAGCCACGGTCGACATTGGAGAAGATAGTTGAGGCGTTGATTTAATGGCTGTCGAAGGTGATGTAATATTATTGCTGTTGTTATCAGGAATAGTTACGGGTACGTTAAGAGCCGCAGTAGTTGGCGCCATTTTAATTAAAGGATGATGGTGATGATGACTCAAGCTTCCTCCGTCTACAAATTCATTGAATGCAAGATCTGAGAAAGTAAGTTCCGGGAAATAATCCATAACAGGATCGATAACTGGGCTGGCGGAAAATGATTCGCAAGTAGAACCGAATAAAGGAGAATCGATTAAATCAAATGGCGTATCCATACCATCAAACCCAAGATTCGCACTAGGTGTCGTTAGCGTTGACGACGTAACAGGTGACAAATTTTCACTTGATGTGGATAAATCATCACCCGCTGTTGTCGCGGTGTTTGTTGTTTGGAAAAATGAGAATTTATCTTCATCACCCTCGGAAATGAAACCCGCGAGATCATTTGCAAGCCATTCATCAAACACAGTGGTCAAATCACTGTGATTGACAATGGATGCGGCTGCTGTTGTGGCCGCTACTTCGTCAAAGTAATTTGGCATTATTGAAGATGATGGGGAATTAGATGGAGATGGGGATTGTGATTCTGATGAAATCATCTTGATCGGTGCCGTTAATTCTGCGTTTTTTTTGGCGCTATTATTACTATGGCCGTTACTATTGTTGTTATCGGATTCAAATGAGGTTATTGGCAACTCGATGTTTTGCGTGCTTTCAAAATTATGTTTGTTATTACGACTACTACGACTACTATTATTATTGTTGTTGCTGTTATTTTTATTAGTAGTTGATTCAACCATAATTTTTTATTATGTATGTAGAAGAGAAGTAAAAACTTGTAGTGAAGTGTTAAAATGTGAATTAATGTGAAGGATTTAATGTTTAATGTTAGTAGTATGATTACTAAAAGAAATAAGAAAATGAGATTTATATATATATTCTAGTATAAAAAGCTCGTAACAAATTAATGTTTATTTTTAGAAATACTTAATTATAGGATAGAGAAAATGGCTTTGTTGTTGTTGTTGTTGTTGTTGTTAGTAACAGTATAAAAATATTCTTTCAAGAGTAAAAATTTCAGCGAAAAGATATTATTTTTCGCGTATGATGTCGAGTCTTTGGTGTATCATTTTGAGTAAGGTAAGTATGTGTAGCGGCCATTGCGGCGGCAAGAATAAAAAGATATAAAATTAGAGTATGGAGAATGGTTAAAAACCAGAAAAGAAATTTTTTACGCCAATACTAGAAAAAAGTAGATAGAAAAAATTCAAAGCTATAAGCTTTGAGGGAAATTTAAACGGTGATGAAAGCCATACTGGAACTTGAATAAAAAGTGTAAGTGTTTATTAAAAAAAAAATTAAACAAAAAAAAAATAAAAATAAAAATTAAGTGTATGATAACAGTTTAGCGATATAGATGGAATACGATTTCTTTTATTCCCTTCGCCGAGTTTCTTTAGAAAATAAGGGTTGGAGTGACTAACCGACTTTGCTTGGATACTGATTTGAAAAAATGTTTAAAACTCTCTGATAGCGATATCAAAAGTGCGAAAAATGTTAAAGACAATGAAAAAGGAAAAGGGAAAAAAATTTTGCTTTGATTATTAACCGAAATCGACAATGAAATTGACACACGTGATTAATACAAAGTTGCCAAGCGGAACGTTTCTTTTAAGAGTGCAAACAAAGTCTTTATTTAATTCGTTGAATAGATAATCGGTTTCTAGCGTAGGGTGTAAAACGTTTGCCGGAAATGGGCAATCTCTCGTTAATAAGCCAATTTCAGGGCGGCGAATTTATGATGTAACTCTGCAAATAGCTTAATACCGATACTTGTATTAAGTGACCCAGAAAAATAAACAAAAATAGAAAATAACTTTGATTATTAATTGTGCATTAATAGATATTACAATCACATTCGACTTTCTTTCTTCGTCTGTAAAACGTGTCGTTGTATGACATTAACTTAAAATAAATTATCATCATTAAATGAAAACTTAATAAATTTTTTACGATTGTCAATATCCTGAAATATAATAGGTTCATCCCCCAATTTCTATAAAACGGTTACACAAGTGAAAAATCCAGCCTAGATTAGGTACAAAAATCACAGAAAAGTTTTTCATTCTTGATTATAAAAGAACAATAAAATATATATATTTTTTTTAGAAATTCGCTATATGATCGTTTGATTGGTAATGATGAGAGAAAAATGAATTTTATGTCTAAGTATAATAATAAAATAATAATGAGAATAATAATAATAATAATAATAATACGGGGGACAAAATCTAATTTTTAATAAAAATTTTCTACCAAGAAAATATGCCGTTCTTTTTAAACTATAGCAACAAATAAGAAAGTAGATTGTGAATCATTGTCTCGTGTTACGTCAGGTGGGATTTAAATACATAAAATTCTACAACAGCAATGTATGTATATATATGTGGGTATGTTTATATATAAAATTCAAAGAATGAATATCGAAAATTACTGAATTAAAAAAAATCTAACGAATGGGATGATTGAAGGATGGGCGAATGAGTAATCTAAAGAAAATGGAAAGAATTTATCAATCTATGGATTCAAAGATGCGGGAATCTAAGAATCGATATACTTACAAACTTCAAATATGTAGTATGTTGTTGTATGTCATTCTATTATTGTTGAACATTGCGGGTAATAGTCTCATAATTATCGCTGTTACGTTTGAGAATATCGACAACAGGCCCTAACAAACGAACAAAAGCTTTTTTGCCCAAGGTTGCAACCTTTAGTCTACCTTTTGCTCGAATATTTACCGCACGAGGTTTATTATTAAGAAGAGCGAGTTCTATAGAGAGAGAACAATGATAATGATGATTTCTCAATAAACGTTCATCATATGCCTAAAAAATATCTCTGTGCAAATAATTTCATACCTCCAAAATAGTCGCCTTTTTTCAATCCAGGTAATTCAAATTCTACACCATCTTCATCGAACTTTGTAACACTGGCTTCGCCAGATTCAATAAGATAGAAACTATTACCAATGTCTCCTTGCTTAATCACCAGATCTTCATCTTCATAGTATATAGATTCTAAAGCATCAGCGATTTTATGACGTTCATACGGTTCCAAAGAAACCAAAAGGGGAACTTCCTCCAAAAATGATTCGTACATTCTACGTTTACGTGAAGTATTTTCCATGAGAATACGTCTAAATGTTACTCTATCAAGCGCCCAAAGCACAGAATCTGATGTGGCAACTACTGTTGCTGCGCGTGGTGCATTATACATTAATGCTAATTCTCCAAAACTACCACCCGGACCGTAATCCATAACCCGTTCTGGCGGAGCACCGTTCTTTGATACATAGACATTGAATGAACCCGTCTCCACAACATAAAAATAATCCCCGATACCACCTTGCCTAATAATTTCTTCTCCGTCTGCAACTCTTTTTTCCACCATCGCATCCACGACATCTTTATACTGTTCCTCGTCAAGATTCTTAAATAGAAAATTATTGGCAATCGAAGATTCTATTCGTTGTCGTTGTTCTTCAGTCTTAGGAATTACAACTTTTATATAATCTTTATCTTGACTTGGTGCCATTGATTCTGCGCTGACCGATGTACGCCGTCCTCTATTATTGTAATTTATTGGAATTTCCGGGAGATCACTCGGCTCATCATCATACATTTCCTCCTCACTATCATGTAAATAATCCGTTGTCGGTGTACTTGCCCCAGATGACTTTGATGAATAATAATTCCATGAATTCGTACCGTTATTTATTGATGTGTTAAAGCTATAATGATTTAATTCGGCATCTCCTGCAATATTTATAGCATATGATAAATGGATATATATATATATATATATAAAACACAAAATTAATATGAATTCGATATTAATATGAAAATCATCATTTTATTGTGGCTAGTGAAGTACCAGCGATTCTAAACATTAAATATTCCCACAAACATATATGTAAAATAACTTTGTCAATTCGACTAATGCCCAGCACAAATAACCTGAGAGGGACCTGACAAAGAAACGCCAAGCACGAAGGTAAGCAGCCAAAATGTTACACGTTGAGAATTACCTTTTGGTAAAAATTGGCTCCTCTGTTCTTCGAGTTTCCTATTAAAATAGTTAGCACAAAATTGGTGGACATCTTTCGGTTGGGCCTGAGCGACTTCACGATTAAGATCGTCCAGGATTTGTAAATAGGCAGGAGGTACAGCCATTTTTTCGGCAAGCAGTAAACCACAAAAGGGAAAAAGTGCTCACTAAGTTTTTGATTTTTGCCAAAGACAAACCCAAAAGTTTCTTGAATATCTATTGCAGAATAAGAATAGAGTGTAATTTTAGTGGCTGAACTATGCCAAACCAACAAAGAAAATGTAGGCATGGCAATTCCACTGCATATTTTCTTCCAATCTGGGAGTCCCCTTTTTTGGGCACAATACTTCATGTGTGTCACGTAACAGGCCACGTAGAAGCCACGTTGTGAACACATACTGCGTGAGATCATTTTGAATATATCATGTCACACGTGATATACCAACAACTATTTGGTGATAATATGTAAAAATTAAACTATTACTAAAATTACATGTAAAGAAAAAAAACCCCAAAACACAATTTAATATCGATATTAATGGTTTGAGACAATAAAAGAATAGTTCGTTGACGCTTTTTTTAACCTTATTCATACAACACCCCTAAATTCATGAAATATGATTAAAGATGATTGACAAGCACATCGAAGAACTCAATAAATAAAGAATTCGAAACTTACTGAGGTATTTCAAATTTCTTCCCATGTAACACTCTGGATAGATAGATAGATAGATAGATAGATAGATAAAAACATCAAAAATGATTTTGAGTGAGATAAACTCGAGAAATAACTGCACGTGACAATTACTTACTTTGTATAATACACGTAAAAGAAATCACTATATAGAGCTGTTTGTATAGCACCAGCAATCCACACGATAAAATCAACATAACCATCGGTAAAGTATCGATAAATCCAATTTAAAATGTACAAAGCACGATATGCACCCAATGCAAATAAATAATGTGTTGTAATTGTTTCAGCTTCACCGGTACGTGTGAGCATAAAAAGTTGCGGAAGAATGGCCACCGATTCGAGATAAATTGAAAATGTCCATAGGACCTATGCGGCAGATTTTTATTTTTATCTTGATCAGAATACGAAAAAAAAAATAAAAATAAATCAACAAACTTTACCTCAATAAATGTAAATTTATAATTAAATAATAATCCCAATAAGAAGCTACCAATTAATAGGAATTCTATTCTGAATGTGTCGAAACTTGGATCATAAGTTGCTCGAAACTTTAATTTCATCAAATACAGAATATATAAAGATGTGCCGATAAAGAACAATTTCATAAGAGTATTGTATAAAGATACATAAAGAAAGAATAAGTCTAGATATCGAGTTACGAATACGATTGCATAGAGAAGTTGAGTTTTATATGATATTCCTATTATATTGGTATATGTTATTTAGTAATCAATATTTATCGTTATTAGAAATGATAGAAATAAAAAAAAAGATCATTTGATCTGTTTGCTACTTTATTGTTGATATAATTTACATCTAATTTCCCGTAGGAAACTTTAGATAATTATTTAAATCACAGTTTATGTGAATCTATCTCGAACTTCAAGGTGAATAGAATATAGATTTACTTACCGGCACATGACCTTGTCTTTTGTATCTTTAAGAGAAGTATGATAATGGAGCCAAGATGCATAAAATCAGCGACAAGTCTAAATATATTCATGTTAGAGAAATTTACTTCCCTTCTTTGCAATAATGTTGTAAGAAACGAAGAGTTCGAACTTCAACGTTTTTTATTTCGATTAATAATGAGTGGCGTATTTATAGGAAATAAACAACCACCTGATGATCTTTTTTTGCGCCACGTGCCACTTAACTTATTGACATTGATTATCATCTTTAATAAACTTGCTTTAATTTAGAAAAGACATGACAACTCAACTTTGATATTTTTTTTTTTCTTTGAGCCTTGGGAATGCATCACGAAAAAAAGGCTGCTAAGTCATTATAACTCTTATTATTTTATTATTTCACGAGAAATATCGATATAGTACCTTTCATTTGTTTATTATCATTATCATAATGTGTTATTTTTAATAAATACAAAGAGATCCTAATCTAGGTTGGTCGTAAATAATTGTCTAAAAAAGGTTTTGCTGCAAATTGTTGATCAGTTTATACTTGTGACTCGATAATTCAATCGTACCACGACGTTAGATATTAAATACTCTGCACTGGATCAGTTCTGCGTGGTTTATCCTACATAGTTATTTCCGACAAAAAAATGCCAGACGAAGTGCCCCATAAGCGCCAGCGTGTTTCTAAAGCCTGTGATACCTGTCGTAAGAAAAAAGTAAAGGTTAGCTGGGCATAAAAAGCTTTTTTACCTCTTAACGCATACTATAGAGAAAGTCCCTCTTGATTTCTTCTAAATCCATTAATAATATCTCCTCCTTTATTCTGTCACTGTTTTTTTTCACGAATAAATACATATATATATATAGTGTGATGGAGTCCAACCTCGTTGTGGTAATTGTACAACGTTTAATGTTGATTGCACTTACAATGATACAACAAAGAAAAGGTATCCTGGTTTTATTTACTTGATATTTTACATATGTACCAAATGTATGGTCATATTCTAAATTCAAATATCACAGGGGACCACCCAAAGGATATATTGAGGCAATCGAGACTCGATTGCATAGAATGGAATCTCTCTTAGGCGGATTGGTACAAAGTAATGATCCTCGGGCAGAAGCTGTGTTGGCACAATTAATACAAGATGACGATATGATAGTTCCTAATCGTCGACCAACTACTGGACGTCCAGACTATAGTGCTTGGCGTAATAATAACGCCTCGAATTTATCTTCTACATCGTCAAACAGTGCTAGAAATAAAGATGACTCATCATCGTCGTTAGATCCATTAACTACGTCCGACGGCAAACCTATTGAAGATTTAAATGATGTTATGGGAGTATTAAGCATTGACGAGAATAACCAAGTTAGATATCATGGAAGGAGTAGTGGATTATATTTACTAAAAAAGGATAATAAAGAGGGAGTTTTAAGAGTACAAAATCAAGGAGTTTGGCTTTCTGGAAAAGTTGTAGCATCAACAAATGAATTTGAACTATTGAAGCATCCGGAATTGACTGAACTTCCATCACAAGAAATTTTCGATCATTTACTGGAAATCTATTTCACCCACGTACATCCAATTATGCCAATTATTTATAAACCAAGCTTTTTTAATCGGCTGAGAGATAAAGACACATTTCCCCATCTATTACTGAATTCAATGCTTGCATTGGCATCAAGATACTCGGATAACGCAGAGATACAAAAGTATCCGGATAAACCTGAATCCGTTGGTTCTGTTTTTTTTGAACGTGCAAAAGCATTACTTGACTTTGAATATGATCATCCAAGAGTCTCCACGGTTCAAGCTTTGATTTTGCTCGCCCTAAGAGAATATGGATCTGGAAAAGTTTCAAGAGCCTGGATGTATGCTGGAATGTCTACAAGAATGGCACAAGATTTGGGATTACATCGTAACACTGAAGAATGGGATCCTATAAATTTCAGTCACGAAGACAAAGAAACTCGAAAGCGTGTATTTTGGGGTTGTTTTATTCTTGACAGGTAGTTTGTTTTTCTTTCTTTTTTTTTTTTTTTTTTACTGGGATAAGATTACTTACGATATTAAAATTAATAACCAATAATGATCTCTAATGTATTGAAAATAAATCTAAAAGAATATCGAGTGCAAATATTGGTAGACCACTTGCTATCGATGAGCAAGATGTTGATGTCTCATATCCTTCTGAACAAGAGGAAGATGAAAATGAACTGCTTCCATTTAAAATGGATTATTCCGTATCAGCGATTTCTTCCCCTATATCCTCGAATAATAGTATTCAAGGATCACCTATATTACAAGCTTTATCTCCAATGACAAATACATCATCGCCATCACCATCACCCACATTATCAGCATCTGTGGCAATAAAAGCAACAACTTCCACCACCACCACAAGAGTCAAAGAACCACAATATAAATCATACTGCGTTTCACGATTTAATGCATTAGCGAAATTATGTGAGATCACTGGTCGAATTCTCCACAAGATTTACGCCATTAGATCCACCACAAAATCCAACAAGGAAAGCAAGGAATCAATTCTTTCTATTCTGGACTCATCACTGACATCATGGCTGATTACTTTGCCAGCAAATCTTCAATATAATCCAGCAGCGGATGAACCGCCAGCACCTGCTACAATTACATTACATATAATGTATTACTCGATCATAATGTTACTTCATCGACCTTATTTACCGAATGCAAAACAATCATTTAAAAAACATACATCAGCAGCTAATTCTCTAACAGAATTAGCGGAGATACTTGTTAAACAGGGCACAATGAAATATACCATGAACTCTACGGTATACGCAATATTTATGGCAGGAGTTTTACACACTTATAATGCAACACAATCAGACATAAGTATATCACAACCTGCAAAAACGAATCTAATTAAATGTATAAAAGCATTAGAAGCATTGAAAAAAACTTGGGTAAATGCATACAAATATACTGATTTACTACTTGAATTAGCAGAAATAAAAAATGTAAATATAGAAACATCTTATTCGACAAATAATGGCGAAACTTTAGAAGAACGTGGAAATCGTACACAACAATCGCAATCACAAAATGGTGGCAATGATGGCGATAATGAGGATGAAGAAGAAATTGATAATCATTGGAATAATGAAACAAATTGGGAAGAATCTTCCCCTTTAAAATTACAATATTACAATAATAATAATAATAATAATAATAATAATAATAATAATAATAATAATAATAATAATAATAATAATAATAATAAT